AAAATGGTCATCGAACAAGGCATTTCTCTGCATACAATGCAATTTATCATTGTTAGAGGTAAATAAATATGTTTTTGTTGAGGAATATTCGTATGTCGTCGCTGATTATCGAATATTTCGAATTAAGTAGGACTGAACTTTAGATTAATGAAAGCGAAGTAGCTCATATCAAATATGATATACATTGATGATCTCGTATCCTTTTACGAATTTAGAAAAAAATAAATGTATAAATTAATTTAATGTTAATCGGATAATATATTTCAAAGCTCGATATTGAAAGTTATAAATTCTACAATCATTGAATGCACACAAGTCCAAAAGCTTCGTTCTATATAGCTTGTTTTCTTCAATCTAATTCTTATGATTTATTTTGTTTAAATAACAGCAGTATCTATATAATTTAGACATACATTTGATGGATTTCATAGTGAATTTCGTAATGGATTCATTGAAAAATCATAATGTATAAGAATTTTTTTTACTTAACTTCATATAAAGGTTAGTTAGATATGTTTAACAGTGAACTTGTTTCGAGAGATTATTTGACAAGAAAACAAAATGATATCAATCTGTTATTCTTATCATTAGATGTAGATTGGAATTAAAATAATCGTGAGAGTGAAATTTATTTATCTATGACAAAACAAGTTATTCTTAAATCTGTGACGTTGAGGAACCGATTGGAAAATATATTTCTAGTGTCATATTAAATAAAACATTTGAACGATTATATATAAGAGTGACAGATAGACCTCCTTTTTTTCTCAAGATCTCTAAATGTTCTGAATAAAGAAGATTCCATATTTTGTGACATTCAAAGCTTGATGTTAAACGTTCGAGAAAGGATATTTTGGATATCTGAGCATCAGAAGTATCCTCGAATGTGTTCATATCGAGAATAATCTATAGAAAATCCAATATTGATAATACCAAAAACAAATTTAAACAGAACGGTTGAAATGTTTGAACGTTGCTTAAGAGAAGCTGATTGAGCATTCTATTGTACAGCAATCTTTTCTATTTCAACAAAGATATTTGTCTCAATTGAAAACTTTTTAAGGATAGAATGCAAGTAAAATGAAAAATTGTTCAAAAGATTTCCATTTTGGAAAAATATTTAGAGAAGAACAGGTGATGTGAATATAATATTGCAAGATATGATGTTTATACAAGGATAAAAAATTTTTTTTTTGTTTTCAATGATCATCTTTGTCCAATAAACATGTCTATCATGTGAAATTTGATTCTCTCTTGTTTTAGATAACATATATTTTAAATGGGGAAGTTCTTTAGCGAAATGTGCCACTTATTCTCATCAAAACTTTACATTTCCGAACACTGTTCGTTTGCGTCTCTCGTTACAACATATATCTGATTTAGCATTGTTGATGCAATGTGATACTTTACCGCGCATAGAACATCTTCATATTACAATGGAAAATGGAATATATACTTCACATAAATTACACAATGAATATGAAGATACATCTTGTCTTACATTATGTCCCAAAGATTTCAATATAAGTCGAGCTAGTCTAACACATTTACGTACATTACAATTGAGACAAGTAGCCATTACTAATGTTATTGTATTGATACAACATGTGAAATCAATGAGTCATGTTGAATCATTAATTTTGATGAACTGTAATGTTAAAGGTATGTATTGTTAATAGAAAATCTAAATTATCAATGATTATAGTTGATAAAATCACTCTTTCGTTTTTAGATAAGAATGAACTTATTGTATTTAAAAGCTGCATTACAAATTTTATGATTTGTCTGCGTTGTCTTCATTTTGTACTTTATTTACCTGCTGAAACAAAGCTTGAAAACATTGATCTTTACTGGTTTAATTTAAGTCATCATACTGTTGAATATGAGATAAATGAACTGATGGTACTTTACACAGTTCCATATCTATTAAATAGTCAACGACAAGTATATAATCATACGTTTGGACGACAATCGACAATCAATAATAATATAACTCATATTCAATGGACAATTGATCGTGAACCTTTATCTATCAATACTACTCTTACTCATTTTCAGCATGTTAATTCACTTGTTTTATTTTTTGATATTAAAGTAAATATTCAATGTAAATCTATGGACATTTTCATTTATTTATATTGTTTAGGAAATGAATATAAATCTAGATTCTTGGCATGTATTACTTCCATTTTTACGTCATCTGAAACTTAATTTTAATTCGAATCCAATCAAATCTGGTAAATCGTATGATCGATCTGTAACACCAAATCATTATCGTTGTATTATTCTCGAACAATTTCGTCAATGTGCTTCTGTACTTGAGTATTTGACGCTATACTGGTCTGACATTCGACTTCTTCTTAAACATTCTTCTTCACCTTGGCCATTCGTTCGACAACTTAATATTCTTATGGAGTCATACACAAACATTCCATCTGCATCTTTGATCAAACAATTACCAACAAACAAAGCTTTTCCTCAACTACAATATCTTTCATTTGGTGGTCGTCGTTTCTCACTCACCCCACCGAAATCACTCGCAACTCGGATCCTCTTATGTTTCGATGCTCTCGTATCTTCTTCATCAAAATTCATTATGTTACATATGAATAGATGTTGTGGTACTTATCGAAGTGTACCTTTTACATCTCGTGATATACTCCTGACGCTTCTTACAGAACGTGTTCGTTCGAGAAGTGATCACTATTCATCATCTAAAATCGTTATTGATTCGAATGAAGAGATTATCATTTGGCTTTGAAAGAAACTTTTAATCATACAGTAGCTATGTAAAGCAAATATTGAAGAAATTCCTATTACAAGAGAAGATAAGAAGATGATATGTTTTTGTAAAATTTTTTCATAGAATTTCATAAATATAACAACTCGAACAAATTTTCATTTTCATTTCTTTTCTTAGCTATTAATATGACGGTAAACTTTATACCAATCGTTTGGAATTCTTCTTTCGAATATACACACTACCTACATATACATACATAGACTGAAACACCAACAAGTGAGAAGGATGAGTGTATTCTGAAGAAGTACTGTGTTTCACTATAAGGATGGGCGATTGTTATACAGTCGTAAAAATAAGACAGTCGACTCGAATTCCAAGTTAGAAAAGATTTGGAATTGTTACTTGTTTTTGATTGACAAATTCTTTTTTTAAATAGAACTTAAATTAATTGTTCTAACATCTACTTATATACTAATCAAGTTCAAAAATGGATTCAAGGTGCTAACAGAAGTGAAATAATGATTAATACAGGTAGACCACTTAGCATGGCAATAGATAATGAAGAATCAATTTATATATCGTCTATATCTTCATCAAAACTGAAGAAATATCGTAAACGTGTAAAGAATGGTCGAGTACTCATGTCTGGTGAAGTTGGACCTTTCCCATTGACTGTTGATCGACATAGATCTATTGATATAGTTGATATGTATCATGATTGAGTGTTTCAGATAGACGATGGAAGAACAAATATCTCGATTGTAATCGGTGGATCAGAACATAATGGTACACATCAACTATCAAAACCACACTCAATTGCTGTTGATGAATCGGGTGCTCTCTATATCACTGAATGGAGCAATCATCGAGTCACACGATGGCTACCTAGATCAACAAATGGCATTGTGATTGTTGGTGATCGTTGTCCAGGTTACCATTCGGATCAACTTCACGGTCCTACTGACTTAGGATTTGACAGTGAAGGAAATCTTTATGTTGTCGATAGTGTGAATGGGAGAATACAAAATTTTCTTATTGACAATAGTTCTTGTCAATAAATGTAAGTATGAAATAATATTTACTATCATTAGCTGTTGATTTCTCGTTTTAGAATATGGCAAACGACGATCAACACAATAGAGTGATTCCAACGTATTTGTGACACTTTATAAAAGGCTTTCTTCAAATCGATTTCAACCTTTATAATCATGTATAACATAGTCGATTTTCTTTGCACGACGACAAAAGATCCGCTATAAATTCTAAGAATGAAGAGATCGAAGATTGGCAAAATATGGCTTAAAATACAGAAACATAATAAAGTAAAGCTAAAAATATGTAAAATATCCATGATCATATATTTTTAATGCAGAATTTGTGCACATAATGGTATAGCAGATTTTCTAAAGCAAAGTTCACTCGACAAACCCATGTATATAACACTTTTCGGAGACTATCAAAGAAAGTATCTTTTGAGCATGAAAAGATTGTCATCAATTATCAAGCTATAAATATATATACCATGACATGAACTTCTGTGTCCAGTATCAGTTCGACACACTAGTTGACAAGCTCTAAAAAGAAATATTTTTTTTCCTATCTCTTTCGTCTTTTGTTTCAAAAGTTCACGATGATAGAGAATTTCAAGCTCTATCAGAATATATAATTACTTTTCTAAAAAGATAATTCTATAGTGATGCAAATTTAAGAAACTAATTTTGATGACAATGAAAAATTCATGTCTGTGGGAATCTAGACATAAGGGTACCTTCATTGTACTCGATTTATTTTGATAATAGTTAAGTATAAACTAAAATATAAATATACATAGTGATGGAAAAATTTCACGGGCTTTCAAAATACGTTTTTATAATAAGGTTTTAACTAAAATACGGACTGCAGCGTTTTTTTCTGGCCGAATATTTTGTTAAATAATTTTCGAAGACGATTCTCTTTCATACAAGTAAAACTTCAGCATTCTGAAAAATACTCATGTAAATGAACATGTTCATCAAGACCATAAAAAGTATTTTAAACGATTTAATACTGAGTAATATGTCTCTGAAAATTAAATCAAATATCTTATGTTTTAAGGAAAAAAATCTGCTGATATTGATTTTGTACCTGTTTATTTATTGGAAATCAATAGAAATAACAATCGCTTATGACAAAAAGAAAAGCAGATAAAATACACATATAAGAAAATAAATATATATAATATGAAAATAAAGAATTTTTCTCTATTCGATTTTTAATATTAATTTGGTTGATTAACAATTTCCATGATTTCAAATAGAGTACCTTGATTAACACGTGGCATATATGCTACAGCTGCATCAGCTGTATCTGTTGCTTCTTGTTTTGTTAAATCTTCACGTAATAATAAAATTTGTATAACCTGATTCGTACATAAAGTTGGATATTTTTTTGCTAATGTAGATATTTCAAGCACAATTAAATCTAAGTCTGTTTGTTCAACTACATCAGCTATATTACTTAATATATTAAAATGATATTCAGTTGCATTATCAGCTGATGTACCATCCCATGATTTAAATTCTTTATCAAGCATAAATGCTTCTTTACATAATTTTTCAGCACATGAACATCGTTCAGCTGATGTAGAAAATTTAATAGGTGTAATACGTGAAAATAAATTTCGCAAATAATGAGCTAATATACGTTTATGCCATACATAAAAAGGTAAGCTAATAAATTTTTTTTAAATGTGTTAATTCAGAACTCCAATAATCATGTGTAATTTCAATAATTGTTCCACAACATGGTTTAGCTGTTAGATCGAACCATTCACATATAAAAAGAACTTTAAGAAATTTTAATGTACTCATTTCAATTTCTTATAATATGATATCACAACAATACTCTGCTGTACGTTCAAATTTTTTTTCCATACTTTCATAACGATCAAGTTGTTGTTGTGATAAACGTGATAAATCATCAAGATCATCACGATCATATTTTTTTCGTACAAAAAGCATGAAATTTGATATTGATTCACAATTATTTGCATTGGCTATCATTGTTTTGTTAACATTTCTTTAAGTGATTGTCGATCAGCAAAATATCATTTAGCATAATTCTTTATTTCAATAACATAGAGATCATGAAATTCATTTATTTTGTGGAATTCACGTATGTTTTCGAAGAAAATAGTGAGTGTAAGTTTTAAGTCGAGGTTTCGTGGTTTCCTCCCTCCTACCCCATTACAGACACATAGCAACGGAAAAGAAAAAATTACAGACGTACCCCCCATTACAGACCTCAGCAACCGGGCATAAAAAACTTCTACTTTATTTAACAAATAAATGCGGAAACTTCGGATTTAAATCCGAGAGTTATGTGTACTTCAAAAAATGAATCATACGAATCAGTCATCCTAGAATATCTCAACATCAAAATTATACTGGGGAACCTACCATTTAAAATGTTGATTTCTATTGCGCGTTGCCAAACCAATAGGACATGGGACCGAATACAGCTCAAGTTTGAACTCTTTTCCTTGATTTACTCTAACAAAGGCGTTTTCCCTATCAGAGATGAGCGAGCCGCGGTGTAAAACCGCCCCGTCCCGCCCCGCCGGCGGGGCGGTGCTAAAACTTGACGGGGCGGGGCGGTGACGGTGCATGACGAAATTTCGCGGTTTCCCCGCCTTTGTATAACCTTGATTTTTTAAATATACTCAGACCTTTAGAGACATCTTTTTAAAATTTTAAAATCTTTTCACAAAACTAATCAGTAAAAAAAGACTTGTTAGCGCAGCTCCAGAGGAGCTAAAATGTGGAACTCACATATATTTTTTTAATTTTTTGTCCTGATGCCTTATTTTTAAATTGTAAAATACCTTTTTTCCGAATACGTATGAAATCATTGATATATTATATAAAAACTAGAGCCTTTTATGCGCTGCTGAGGTCTGTAATGATGGGGGTCAGGGTTACCAGATCGAAAATTAAAAAATCAGAAAAATTTTTCTAAAAATTGGGAAAGTCGGAATTTTTGTTCTCGAAATCGGAAGAAAATCAGAAAGTATTTTTCCATGCTTAAATAACTAGTCTATATATTTTCGATAGCTTCAATATCCTTTATCTTGCTTCTGTTCATCTTTTCGAAGCAATATCGGAAATGATATTTCATAAAGAATTAAAGAAAATATCGATTACACAATTTACTCATGATTGAGAAATCTACATAAGTAATTTGAACAGGATCACATTATTTTTATCAAAAATGCTATAACCAACTTGACGAAACAATAGAATCAGTATTGTAAATTCATACACACACATGCATTTCACAAAACTTATGCAAAACAAAACTAAGACTTATTCTGTATAATGTTCGTTTTTGTTCATACCTTAGCTCGAATACTCTTCAAAATATCAGGTTGAGGTAACAGATATTCATAAAAATGTCCACAAGTATAAACAGAACTCATTCCGATTTTCAATTCTGCAACAGCTAAATTAGTACCCATACGATTATGATTAGTTTTATGATATCTGTGATGAAACAAAAAAAAGCTCAGAAACGAAAATATTCTTAATTAACACTATAGTAAACGAATAGAGAAAGTTAGTTCATCGTGATAGAAAGCTGGATCTTAATTGTCTGTAAAACATCATAGTTTTATTGGAGGATATGCTTTCAAATCACTGCAGTGTGGTTTGTTGAGTTCATGACGCTTCACTACCCGATAACTATGGTGAAATAGATCGCTATATGTGTGGTGTCGTGTCATGGTTAAACTATTCTAGAATGTCCTAAGAACTTGAATTCCCAAATAAGACTTCGAAAACCGGAGAAAAATTAGGAAATCTGAAGGCGATCGGAAAAATATGTTAAAATCGAAAAAATCGGAACGTCGGGAAGTCGTTGGAGAAACTTTTAAAAAATCGCAATTTTTCCTGCCGTATCGGAAGATCTGGCAACCCTGAGTGGAGTGTCTGTAATGGAGTGGGGGAATGGAGAGAGCCGCCAAACCTCGAATTTGAAACTTACAATCACTATTTTATTCGAAAATATACGTGAGTTCCACAAAATGAGTGACTGTATTATAATTGCCTTTCATTTTCATATATTTATTTTTTTCTATTTCGGAACGATGTTTATGCATTTAAAATATGCCTCTTCATCTCATGAAATGAAATAGCCATTATGAAAATTTAATGAAAAATTTGTCAATAAATAGTTTTTTAAAACATATTTTTGACGGGGCGGGGCGGTGCGGTGGCGGTTTTAATGCTAAACAGGCGGGGCGGTGCGGTGGCGGTTTTAATGCTAAACAGGCGGGGCGGTGGCGGTGCGGAACTTTATCGGCGGTGCGGGACGGGGCGGTGACGGTGCGACTTTTTTGCTGACTCGCTCATCTCTGTTACCAGCGGAAAATGCAGTTGCTTTGTATCACAGTACGTCGTGATTTTTTTCAGAGACATCATAAGTCAGTATCCTTGACTCAGGGTGAGCAGACCTACCTGAGCTTGTAAAAGTCCAGGCCAAGTGCCCTTCAAGGAGTAGAGCAGTGAGTTTTTACAAGCCCCATTGCTACAAAGGCATTTTATAGTGAAGTTTTACTTAAATAACACTTTAAAAAATAATAGAAATAATGGGACATGACATCTCATTCGTCCTTGTATATTTACTTATATTTAATGTGTGTTGAATGAAATATGTAAGACAGTAGTGGATATTAGATTCATATCAGCCTGAGAAACCGTGGTTTCTCACATAAACACTGAGGTGCAACAAACCGCGACTTTTCGAAAAAATCCTATGTACCAAAAAACTGATTGAGATTCGCCGTGACGATTATTAAGTTTGTCACGGTGTCTAAGTATTGAAAGTTAAAGAATAATACACCACGGTTTTAGAAAACCGTCGTTCACCGCTCTATCTAATATCACGATTATCGCTGAACCTACAACAGTTTTCGTTCAACATATTGATAAAAATCATATGTAGTTGCAGTTTTTCTTCTGAATCTTTTTTTGTAGGACAATGATGATTAGTTTCAATAAATTTTATTAAAAAAATTCGATGATACTTTCTTATTGCATTGCATTCCGGACAATTTTTGAAGAAAGGCAAATTTTCAATAGCTACAACCGGCGATCTTCCTGAAAAGATGAACTGATTGATTTGTACAACGCTTGATAATACAAAACGAACTACGTACTTTTTTGATTCTCTATATTATATCGAACATTACATGACACATTGATTTAACGAAAAAGTTTGAACAAGGCGTTCGCTTGAAAAGATCTCTGATCTTTTTAAAAAATAAATCAAGGTTCATTGTGATTTGTGGAATATCAAGCAACCACGGTAAATGATGCTGTGGTTCCAAAACTAATAATGTTCACTGCTATTTCTGCATGTGCGACGAATCGCAAATATCTCATACTGCGTTTATGATCATGCTTACAGCGGTTAATGAAAACGCTACTCACCACGATCACAATCATGTTCACCGCGGTTTATGTTTAATGCGGTGAAAAAACCGTGGTTAACCGCGGTTGATCTAGTGGCAACACGGTGTTCTCGTAGAAAACCGCGGTTTTGCTCAAAAAATTTTTTCGTGAGGAATGTTCTATACACACACGAGTGAATGTGACCAGGTAATTCTACAAAAAAATACAACATTTTTTGTTTGACAGAAATGATTCCATGTCAATCAAGTGGATTATTTTCTATTTTACTCTAATCTAGGCATGCAGCTGGATTTCACAGAATCTCTTTTTTCGAAGTCAGTTGATTTCATCGTTCTTTTCTTGTTTACATCAATGATTATGTAAACGTATGACACTTTTTATTGTATTATCTTCGTCGAAAATTGAGTATTACGTAACGATTTCCCATAGGAAACTTTGTAGTGAGTACAACGACAGTGTGAATCATGTAATTTTAATGAACATTTATTGATTCTGTGTGCCAGATACTTGCGAAAATTAGTGTTTTAGTCAAGGGGGAAAGTGCAGGCACCCAGCACCCAGCACCTGCTCAGCACCTACCAGCACCTATCAGCACCTACAGCACCTACCAGCACCTACAGCACCTACCAGCACCTATACCGCATTTCACTATGAGCACCTACAGCACCTGCAACCACTCTTCCATTATCTTAAGTACTTTTTCAGCACCTGGTAATAAAATTTCGTGTTTAGGCTCTGCCCTTTAAATTTTATTACCAGGTGCTGAAAAAGTACTTCAGATAATGGAAGAGTGGTTGCAGGTGCCGTAGGTGCTGTAGGTGCTCATAGTGAAATGCAGTATAGGTGCCGAACAGGTGCTGTAGGTGCTGGTAGGTGCTGGTAGGTGCTGTAGGTGCTGAGCAGGTGCTGGGTGCTGGGTGCCTGCACTTACCCCCTTGGTTTTAGTCCCATACAGGTGTATTTCATATGCTGGCAGTATTATCGCGAGAGAGCATAAAAAAAGGACAGTCGACATAGAGAAAAAATATTGCATTTATCAGAATGCTCATAAATTCAGAGAGAGCTTCGTATTTTTCGTGGAAAACACCTGCAGATGTAGTCATTTCCGGAAAATGAAAACGTATCCAGAGGTCAAATAGAATTTGCTATCGATTGTCATAACTCGATTCCTTCCGAAAAAACCTCAATAACATATCTAAAAAGGTATCGTATTGAAAATAAGAACTGTTTGTATCATTGAATTGAATGATGATAGTGGAAAAGCTGTTGATTGCATATGTAGGTTTTCCAGAACGAATCATTTTAGAAAATAGTAGTTTTTTTGGAACTTCTTAGAAAAAAAATGTACTGCTTTGTTAGGAGGTTAACGATTTTTTTAAAGAATCGCGTCATGCCATTCGATAGCAAACTTGACTTCTCATCGGGAACAGCTGTTAGTACAAACGTCTACAAGAAAAACTCGAAACTATTGCTAACTTTATGAATCTTTTTCATTAATCAAAATCCGCTATTGTTCTAATTAATATTGAGTTCGGTCATTATCAAACAAAGCATAGTTGAAAACCAACATTTTCATTTTAATCTTACTCAAAATGCAATCATATTTTGGGAAAACATGATGAGAAGTTTTTTCAATTCCACGAAACAAAAACAGAAGCCAGTATTTTTTAGCGATAAATCTTGCACATGTCTACTGTGTACATATCGTATATTGTTAGCAAGTACATTGGTTTTCTTGCGCAAAAAGGTCTTCACCTTTAACAGAGATACAAATTTGAAAAAAACAAAATAAGAATCATCGTCAGTGGCATAACTAGGGGAAGGGGTTCGCATGGGACATCACTCCTTTTATGTCCAATATTATTTCTTATATAATTTGATGTGTATATGTTTATTATGATGTTAAATCAGATCAGTTAGATTAGATTTTAAATCTCTACACCAACCACTATGAAATCTAATACCTCTAACGTTTTACTATCTGTATTAACTCTCTTAATAACCCTTTTACTAACCTCTGGTTTACATAGAAACAATTGGTATATATAAGATCTTAGAGGAAAGATGGAATATACTAATAGATAACACAATAGAGTTCGAAAAATACACTAGTTATTACATCAAAGTGAAGAAGAGAAAAAAGAGAAATACCTGATAGAAAGAAAGAAAAGATGTAAATACATTTGAAAACATATCTGTAAAGAACGAAAGAGAAAAACAGATATGGATAATATCCATCATACATTTATCTTATGGTATGTATGTTTATGTACGTGTCATAACAGCCCCTCTGCTTCTGAAACTTTCCTATGAAACGTTCCCTGACTTGGAAATTTAACTAGGAAGCGCCTCTATTTTTGGACACTTTTGTATGTTGCAGACTCGCTGCACCACCGCTTCCTTAAGCCTTCCTGCCTTCAGAGGTTAGTTGCGCCTCTGATCATCGTGGTTTTCCGTAAAAATGTCCTTTTTCAATGTTCGAATACTATTTTTCACCATCAGTTTTGATAGATATATTAAGTAAAAGGATGATCCGCCAAATAATACACAATGCAAAAGTAATGGTATACAGATCAAACACTTTTAGACCGTGTTGTTAACTTGCAATTCAACCAACTTTTGCTTGTAGGAAAGAGCAAAGTCTGAACTACAAATTTTCTGCCCATACATATATCTTTCAGGACAAATCTTCAAAGCACGAGAAGATATCCAAAATCAAACATCTCCAAAGAACGTTTTAGCAACCTCATCGTTGAGCAACGCCATTCTCTATTTCCCTGATTTTTTTAAAAAGTGCAAAAGAATGACAAAAACACATGTAATAATGATTTTTCTAAAATAAACGATGATCTTTTCAATGGTTTATCAAAGGTTGAATTTGTTCTTCATTTTTATACTAAAATATTAATTTTCAAAGAAAGAGACTGAAAAATTTGGTCCTTCTTATAACTTGACAGTTTCGAAATAGTAAAAATATATTTCTTGAGTTACTTTTTTTCTTAAGCTTCCAAAATATGGCATATTTCGAACAAATGGCATCAAAAAAGCGTTCACTTCACTTATACAATCAATTAGATCTCAACGATCGAAAAATACAGAGGTACAGAATCTACCCATGTGTGGAAATGCGCGTTTCAGGAAAGTTTTTGAATCTGGGGAAATTTTGGGAAAATGTCGAGATGGGGAAACTTTTCGGAAAATGGGTTCTCATCCGAAGAAATCACAAACTCAATATACTATTTTTCTGGCTTTCTTGCTCTTGGTTTATCTATTCATTCATAGACCTAGGTCGCTGCCCGTTTGCATGAACATTATTCGTCTCTGAATGTCTTTCCGTTTCCGCCACTCAACTTTACTCCTAGCGCTGTTTCTTGTCAGTTGCATTTTTTTAAATTACTACCGTTTTTCGTTGAAATTATCAACAACTATTCATGCAACGGCAAAACAGCATAAATTTTGAGAGTAATCGATTATTTCACGATGAGGAAATAGTAGAGTAATGACATGAACCTGAAACAAGTAGTATCTGTCTATAGTCACCAAAATTGAATATAATGGATTACATGTGTGAATAATATATTATAATCATTTATCTAATTCATTATCTATAATGAGTTATCGGCACAAATAATTCTTTACGAAGCTTTTCACTAGTAATATAAGAACACGGCACAGAAGATAATCCAGAGAACATATCAGCAGTTCATAGTCTTTCTATTATTGATTTATGTTAAAACTGAAAGTCACCATTGTGAAACATGATTGGAAGTGATTGTTGAAGTGTATAGCGAGAAAGTTAGACTCTTTCTCACGAGCCGTGAAAGTCAGAGGATATGGTAGTATGATGTTTTTTGGACCACGGAATTATGTTTTGTTGAAGCATGATGTTGTGGATTTTCGCACCTCGGACTGCTGGATTTTCAGAGAATGTCTCGGGTTCTGAATCGATAAGAAGTGCTTAAGTCAAAAATATTTTCTCTCCTTTTTTTCGGGTGCGACATTTTCGCTCCGATTACAAGTCGTCAGAGACAATTTGAGATCATTCCCTCTTGATATTGTGGCGTATCGTTGCGAAAGTAAGGAGAATCTTCATGTCCATTTGAAGCGGCTCCATTATGTTTCACATTTGAATCCCACAGGGATTATGCTGGAAGCTTTTTACACATGAAAGATGTTTTTTAAATAAAAAAAAGTTCTCAAAAAAATTCTCAAATAGTATATCCATATCGCTTCGAGAAAGTTGATATGAAAAGTCACAATACAAGGCAATAGTGTTCTATTGTGAGGAGAGATTTCAATCGAATTTGATGATTAAAATTCGTTATAGCTGTTGTAGGTTCTGATTATCGCTTCATTAGGTTTCCATTTTATAGTAATTGACTATAATCGCAATCATTTTGGTCTTTTTACGCAGCGATTTTTTTTAAACATCATACTGGTAGCTCAATTTTGATCTTCTATTTTTTTTGAATATGCACGCTCCGAAAACGAAACTCTTTTGCTCTATTTTTATTGGCGGGGAAATTTTCCCAAAAAAGTCTTGCCGTTTGGGGAAATTTTTCATTTATACAGCAGATTTTGCACCTCTATGGCAATGGTTCCACCATTTTCATCTACTTAGTAAAAGACGCATTCCTATTTTCTTACGGATTCAAACAGTTTCATTTCGATTATTTTGAGAAACCAGATTATGCAATCATTCATTATTGTGGAAATCCATCTTTTTATTCGACTGAAAGTTCTAGGTAAAAAAAAACACATTTCAATAGTTCTTATGTGTTTGAATCGGTATTGAACTTTTGTACTCGATGATTTCCGAAATCGACGACATAGAGATTGCCGTGTCGATCGAATGATAAACCGATGGGCACTTTGAGTTGGTTCGATTGTCCTCCTCTACCGTTTCCATCAACAATGACACTTCCCTGTTTGGCTCCATTGGGCCAACGCATGATTCGATCATTCCATCCATCAGCCACATAGACAGTGCCCAATTGATCGACAACGACTCCATAAGGACATGACAATTGTGTAAGACCATTTCCTTTTCCTTGATCACCAGCCACGACAATGCCTTGTTTTGCACCTTCCACCCATTTCATCACACGATAATTTCCACTATCAGACACGTAGACTGAATGATCTCGATCGACGAATACGTATTGTGGGAAAGAGAGTTGATCGAGACGATTTCCACTTCCATTGCCACCTGCAACCACTGTTCCTTGAGATTCTCCTCTTCGATATCGTCTCACTTCATTTTTTCCATAGTCAACGACATAGAGAGATCCATTCTCGTCTATTGTCAAACCCATACAATAGATGTTGGAGATGGTTGTTTCTCCACTTGTCCCATTTCGACGAGGCCATCGAACCACTCTTCTATTCGATCTATCGGAGATGATTAGACAATCTCTCTCTTTGTCGACAATCACATCTCGAGGTTCATTCAATTGATGAGCCCCACTTCCTTGTCCATTTCCACCGGCAACCACTTGGCCACTCGTCGCACCCCATTTCCATTCCACAATACGGTGATTGTCTTGATCAGCGACATATATTGTTTGATCTTCATCAACATACAAACCCCATGGGTTTGAGAGTTGATTGATTCCATTTCCATATCCATTTCCTCCAGCAACAGTGATACCATTCTGTTGCCATCGAGCATTTGGATGAATGTCAATTAAACTTCCACGTAATGGAATCACTGAAATTGAGAGAAACAAGAGAATAAAATGATAAAATAAAAGAGAAGACAATGTGAGAGAGCCAGAGAGCAGATAGAGAGAAAAAGTGAAAATTTCATTTGAAGTTTTGCAAAAATCAACATCGTTTCAAGTTTCGACTTGTTTCCAAGTTTCTCTTAAAGGAAATTTGATTAGGAAGAAGAGATATCTTTTAATCAAATCTTCAACTTTTTGAGAGAATGATTGTTTAGCTTGAAACATCTTGTTTAATTCGAAATTATTCATTTTAATGTTCTCGCCTATAATCATTTGTTCCTATGTTTTGTTTGCAAATTCACGCTTTTTCACTCATGAGTTTGAGCTCAAATTGTCAAGACTTTTAGAGAAAAGACATTGTTTCAATGCTGCTGACAATCATATTCTACTTTGGACGAAATTCAAAGGAAAAACAGAATAATGTCTATGATATATTTTCAATGAGAGTAACAAAAGAGAATTCTTTCGTTGATAACTCAGTAGTTTTTAGAGAATGATCAAGTATAAATTGTTCTACATGGCTTTATTTACATTATTAAGTTCTAATGTCAATGTCTTGTTCAAACATTCCAGTTGAAAAGTTATCCTTTTTGAAGAATTGCATGTCAATCTGTTTTTTTAAGCCCCCCCCCCCTCCTCAGAAACCAATTTTGTTATTTTTCATCCGATTTCAACCAAAATTTTAGAGAATGTTAATCTTGGCTAGAATAGATTGCGGTTAAAACATATCCCGAAATCTGCGAGCCATTCACGAATTATAGTCAATTCATTGGTCAAAAATACCCTTTCTGCGGGCAAAAATTTCAAAATAAGGATACGAGCTACCAAGCCCGAACGATTTTCAAGTTATAGAGTACCCTTAGGGATAGATGCTTCCAGGGCCCGATTTTTGAATATCCCTTTGTTTGTTTTTTAAAAACCATTTTTCGTAAAATTCACGAAATCATGCCCAACAAATTGCTACTAAAAAATAAAATATCTAAGGTTTTTATTTCACCAAAAGAGGAATTCAAAAATCAGATTGTGGGAGGATCTCGCCCTACCTGTCTACTATGCATTAAAAAAAATCATCACTTCTATATTGAGTCATTATGAAAAAAAGCTTGCCCGCGTAAACGGTATGCTCGAAAAAATTGATTTTGAGAAAAACAGAGAATAAGTTTTTAAAAACCTTATTTTGTTCAATATGGAGGTTCAGAAAAACCTATGTAATATCTTTAAATCTCATCATAAAATCAATCAACTATAGTGCATTCCAGAGTAAACACTTTGCTCTATCTAATCAGTTATAAATCACAAAATCGATAAATTTGACCAAAATTGACTTTTCTGAGGGAGGGAGGGGATCTTAAATTAAATCTATTCAAAAAGTTGTCTTATAAGACGAACACATTGCTTACTCCATAAATCATAAACTCCTACGTGTATTTTGTTTATCAAGGACTTTCATTGGATTGTTTTTCTTTCTAATTGGAACAATTATCTATTGAAATCAAGAGTAGTGATCATGTCCTTTGAATTATTCTGAAAATTTCTTTGCGATAAAATTGTCTTCAAAACTCAAAATGAGTTTGATATTTGTTATCGGGCATTGTTGAAATCATCACTGTTCAATCGAAATCATTTTGCAACACATGATTGAACTCGTAAGAAATCCAACCTTTATCAATCACATGTACATTTCTGCACTATTAATATTCAATATGATCAAATTCAACAAACAATGCCCATTGATTATTCACAATCATGAATGATACATGAATTGTAACAAATGAAAGAGATACATCGTTTCATTTTTGTCCATCTTTAGAAAAAAGGCGTTTCTTCTCATCACAATCAATTGTGTTGATTTAATCAATGAATCGAATAGTTCGACTTTTAAAAATCGACTCAATTCTTAGAACAAGAGCATGTTGACAATGAAGCATCACTATTGATTGATTGAGTTAAAATTATAACTAATCATTAGAAAATCTCCGCTTTTAGAAACATTGAAAACAATTTCACATTTAAAATAACTGAAACTTTTTTTCGAATAGTATGTTATCGTTGGGAAAGTTTCAACTTCTTTCAGTTAAATCAAAGATAGTTCGGTTTGACTGATTTCTGATATCTAAGAACATTCGTCTGTGAATATCATATAGTTATTGTGATCTCAAATACTACTCTCATTGTGAACTTTGTTTTTGACTCGTTAATCAAAGTTGGTAGTATTTATAGAGGTAGGGTATTTTTACTATTTTTTTCCTTAAATGCATATCTACACTAAATGCCAAGTGTATAAATAAAATAGCAATAATGCGTTTTGGATGAAGAATGTCATTTTTCATTTTGAATCGATGTCGATGAAGCCATATGTTGACTAACAGAAAGAAAATATTAAAAAAAGAAATTATATTCATCTTTGAAATATAAACATATAATCAAATGTTAGTGTTTTGTTCCAAGCGATCAATCCAAATGGAATGTTGCCTTTTGCATCGAACAAAGAAAATGAAAGCTAAACTGAAAGAATATTGAAATTTAGAATGAAATTTATTCGTAAGCAAACAAAATTGTACTAGATTCGAACACGATAGAAGACAATTGTTTCGAAAAGGTTAATGTATATAGTATTTAAGAGAGAGTTCACTATAGGTACACTGTGCATTGCCAAGGAAATTCTTTGATTTTCGAGTTTTATATTTTAATGGAACAGTCTGGCACGAGTCAACTTCAAATTCAACATCTTAGATGATTAGCTATTTGCTTCTAGAAAATAGAATTTAAAGTCCTGACTCACGTACCATTTTAACCCCTAAAAACGGTTTTTTTCGAGTATTTTGATGATTATTTCGGAATGGTTTCACAGTTCTGGTTGCAAAACATTTCAAAAATGAAAGTCTTCTTTGAACTAAAAAATGATCATATTTGATTGATGTATATGGTGTTTCTCAAAAATTCCTTAAGAAGGATATCATCAAAAATGCTCTTGTCCAAAAACAAAACGGTACTTTGATGATAGAATAAGAGATTCTAAAGTTATTTTTCTATCGAACATAGATGCCATCAAGACATTGGCTGAGCTACTGGAAGCATAGAGGCGACTCTGTACTTCGAATTTTCTAGTGAATAAGAGATTTTCTTTTTACCAAGCTGCATATATGTAATCTCCTGGAGTTGATCAAGAGCTGCAAAGTATAATATTTGAGTTTTTCTTTTTGCATCGAATAAGATACTAAAGGTTGTCTCGAAAAAGCATGAACCCAATAAATGTTCAACATGTATTTTTGTTGTTAAACTCTCTTCTGAAAACTCAAAATTTCATCACAAGCAAATGTTCGATTTTTTTTTTGGATAGAACCATCTAAATCAAAGAAATTTCGCTCTCAAATATATCTGATT